ACTCGGACAGGGTGACGGGGTGACGCCTGGATAAGCAAAGGTGACGGGGTGACACCTATGGATCTAAATGAGGGTGATGGGGTGACGCCTGGCGCCTATGGGTCTAAATAAGGGAGGGTGACGGGGTGACGCCTGGCGCCTATGGGTCTAAATAAGGGAGGGTGATGGGGTGACGCATGGCGCCTATGGATCTAAATAAGGGAGGGTGACGGGGTGACGCCTGGATAAGGGAGGGTGACGCCTATGGATCTAAATAAGGGAGGGTGATGCCCAAGATACTGGATAAGCGAGGGTGACGGGGTGACGCCTATAGATCTAAATAAGGGAGGGTGACGGGGTGACGCCTATGGGTCTAAATAAGCGAGGGTGACGGGGTGACGCTTGTAGCACCAAGGACAGTGCCAAGAGGACATATTGGCGGATGGGAAAAGAAGCGAGGGTGACGGACAGCCACTTACGACACCTCATGGGAAAAAGAAGGGGTGACGCTGACAGCGCCAAGGGCAAAAAATGGCGGATGGGAAAAAAAAAGGTGGGGTGACGGACAGCCACTTACGTGATGGACTTCCATTTGCGGCTGGGGTGACGGGGTGACGTTTACAGGGGTGCGCCCGTCGGACCAAATAGATAGGAATGGAACGAAAGAATGTCGACAGCGGTGGCTAGTGCTCACAACTTTTTCCCACTGACTAAGCTAACTCAAATATTCCCACGGGTGCATTTGCAGAGGATTGATTATTTGTGTCCAAAAGAACCCTCTTCCACATTTGTGGAGTCGGACCAAGTACTAGTAAGGTAAACAACTAGAAAATATTGGGGGTGAAATTTTCAGCTCAAAAAGTTGAAGGGGCGAAAAAGTGAATCCTGAGACTTTCTGAAGATCCTGACCTGAGGAATTGTTTGAATTAAGGTTTGAACTGTCTCAGTATTTACAGATCGCAGCTACCCCAGATGATATGGAGCTCAAATGCTCAGGTCCTCTACTCCAGCATCTTTCTACCATTCAGATAGTTACTCACAGAATAACATATGCTCTTTCCACTGAGCAAAAGACTAGCTGACAATGGCTGGAGAACACCCTCCATCATGCTACCTCTTCCATCCTTTTATAATTACACTCACAACCACAAGACCCACTGGCATGCTTTTAATCTCATAGGTGTCTCACATTACACTCCTCTTACCTTCTGAGAGTTCTGTACACTCATTCGAGTCATCCAAAGGTCGTCCGTCTCCTTCCGAGGCCTGTTTACACTTTTGATGCTCCATACCATGTCCTGTCCGTGTCCATCTGACTTCACTGGTGCGTTTTCACTTTGATTATGTCTTAGGGGCACATACATTGTCGGCCCGTTGAAAGCTTGATTAATACATATAGCTGCATGCCTCATGCTCTATTACATGCATATCTCTGTAGTGGCTCACCTCGAGTCTTATTACATTTCGGATAGCTTATCTCGCTGCTGTTCGCGCCTATGCAGTTTCCAAACTTCACGCTGTAGGATACAATCAGGCTCGCTAGTTACTTGCACCTCACTTCACTTCCCTTGCTATGAGTCATAGTTAGTAGAGTCACTTTTGGATAGTCATACTTTGTGCAATTGATCCTTCTTGTTCATTCAGAACGATTGTTTGGCTTGATGGCTGCCATTTCACATCTTGCTGTCTCTGAGTTCTTCCGGTAGACTTTGCTCAGTCATACTTTGCAAGTCTTATACTTTGACATACCTGCTGTGCTTCTCTCTCGGAACCTTTGATGTTCATTGGAAGCTCTTCGGATGCTTTGCACAACCTCGGACCTTCGTTTCTTGACATCAGACCACCTTCGGAAACATTGAACGCATCTTGGGTGACTTTTCCACTTTAACAAGATATCCCTTGCATTTTTATATTGAGAGATAGTTCTATAGGCAGTCTCTTTGGGACGAACATCACCACTCGCACATTGAGTTCAAAGGTAACATTTGTAGCACCTACACAGAATCAACTCTTTACAACAGTCCATATGATCCAAAAACTTTTGAATCTGAAGAGTTTACAATGGCCACACCTTGTAAAGATGAAAAGCTCAGGATTGGGACTATTATTAACAAGGCCATCTTGGAGGAAGTCATTTCCGGCCCATCCGACATCAATCCAGATAGTCTTTACTGATGGAACACAATCACTGATGCTCGCAAACTAAAGCAGGAGGAGTTCTTCTCTAGCGCTTCTGAGAGCATTAAGGAATGCATCTGAAAATGGCTTGATGATGCTGTAGAGAGTGACTGACTAACTGTGGTGTCTTGCAGATGTTCACATGTGAGAGTCGATTGAGTTGAATAGACTTAAGGCTCGAGCAGGGTAACTATCTGAACCAAGTTATATTTGGGGGTGAAAGATCAACTACTCTACCAGTAGTTAATGGATGGTTTAAATACTGTAGAGTCAGGAACACTAAAGAATATGAGAGAAGGAATGAAACTAATGAGTCAGTAGGCAGCCAACAATGAGAATATTGATTGCCATTGCCAATATTTGATGATGGCTTTTGAAGAGTGTTACACTAACTAACAAAATTTTGAGATGAACCTATGAGATTGTGAATCTAAGCCTACTGTGGCAACCACAAATCATGCCATATCAATAGGGGAGTTCAAAGCTGGATTTCGAGGCCAATTTGAATGTGGATTTGGATGTGGATTTCATTTTTCAAAACCAAAATCAGCTTTGGTGGATTTGGGATGGATTTGGGATGGATTTCAGCTGGTCAAGTGGCAACATTCGGCAAGGTGAGTCGGACTCTGAAATGATGATCCCCTTCGAAGCCCCTTGACTTCTCAGCCATCAAATATCCCTGCTGCTCCCATCAAGTATACAATTACCCTTCCATCCAAGTGTCGTACTCAGGATACTCCTACCCGACATCATGCTCAGGATACTCCTACCCACACCAAATCAGCATCAAAGAAACATAAATCTGTACACGACATGGCCAGAGAGATTGCTGATGCTGAGTGTAAGGCTCATCTACTCATGAATGAGACTAATGCCAAGGAATGTACTGCTCGCAAGCAAATTAAGTGTAGGTCTGCTTTTGACACTGCCCTTGCTGTCGAGTGTATGCGGGTAGAGCAAGCTGCTGCTCAGTGAGCTCATGAACTGGTGATGATCGAGAAGCAGATTGAGCTAGAGAGGATTTGGGCATGATCAGGACAGGGCAGAATTGTAGTGGACTACAAGTGTACTAACAATAATACTCAAATTGTAGACTATGGAGGCCCTCATCAACTTTGCGGCAGCTGGCAGATGTTACAAAATATACCATCTTGATGATGAGCTGGCAGGTACTTGCAATCAGACATCAAAATTGTACATTTGGCTGTTTCATCCCTCATAGTCCGGGTATTTAAAGCTTTGTAATGTGAAGTACAATTATGATACATATTGTACATATTGCAGATAAGATAAAGCAATATATAAGTTCATCATTTTCGTGCCGATTACCTAATGCACATCAAAGCAGTCAGGGGTTACCTGAACATATGCTCTGAAAATCTCGGGCGACTAAATTTTCACCACTCTTGACTATTGGCTCCCTGTTGACAAGGTATCTCCGAGAGTACAATGTGCCTACCACACCAAGCAAAACTTCGCTGGTAGTAGGCATTGGGTCATCATCAGATTCGCCAGAGGAATCATCGGAGTTTGAATCAGAAGAACCAGAGCTAGAAGAAGACATGGGATCAACAAGAATGTGGGATTCTACCAGAAGAGCTGCAATGTATGACTCGAGCACTGATTCAGCAGCCTGCTGGCGCTCAGTTTGAAAGGGCATGGTGTTTTCAAAACAGTTTTCAAGTATCCTATGCTAACCGTTGTACTACGATAATTTGAACTCCGATGCAGCAAGCATTTGGGTAAGCAAAAACGGTCAGTGTCAAATCCGTCAAAATCAGGTCAAAATCAAGGGTTGTCAAAGTTGAAATCGGATTTGGACGTTTTTAGCGTCCAAATCCATGTCCAAATCGCATCCAAAGTGGCCTCGAAATCCAGCTTTGAACTCCCCTAATGTTTGGCAGTTTTCAATACATATGCATAATTTTATGGTTATCAGGTATCACAGAAATGATCCTATCTGCATGCAATGACTTGATGTAAGGTTGAGATTACCATATAGTGTGAATGGAGTCAGTGTGTCTGGAGACTCTGAGTGTATTATTATACATGGTTGAGATCACCATATGTGGTCTTTGTATACCACAGTCCATCAGGTCAGTCTGGACACTGAATGAATAGATATATGTAGTCTACCATACAACTAGTCCACACCCATTCTGCCTTTGGCACAGGAAGCAAAAAAGAGTGCTTCGTGCTCTTTTTTTAGCTTCCTGGCCTCAGCTTCATCCCAATAATTCTGGGGGCTCCTGATGAGCATTGTTCCTTCATCACAGGAAGCCAAGGAGGGCTGCACCCTTTTTTGGCTTCCTGGCCTCTGGCTGCATCCTAATAAAATTTTAAATTGTGCATCTTGAATAATTTTGAAAATACATTTATGAGCAGCATTTCAAAAAAACTAAAAGTACAATCTATTATCTATCACACCACATAAAAGTACATAGTACATAAGATCAGTCAGTTCCATGTTCTTTGAGCAAGATTTTGACAAAAGTAAAAATACAATCTACTACACAACATAAAATTACAAAATATGTAACAGTATCATCGAATGTATTTATTTTCCTGTTTTTCCCTGCCTTCCATCTCCCGTCTCCCGTCTCCCGTCTCCCGTCTCCCGGTTCTCCTGCCCTCCCATTCTCCAGTTTTTGAGTCTCTAAGTGGTCTTTTTCTCCTTTTTCATAATCTTCTGCCATTCATCTCCCAGTCTCTTTTATCTTATATTTGTTTTCCCCCTGTCTGTAATTGTATTATATGTTGTTCCATTATTTGCTGTATGTATACAAAAAATACTACCATAACAATCACAGTAAGGAAAACACTCAAATCTAATCACATATCTGCCTTGCCCTGCTCAAACACATCATTTTTCGTTATTTAATGTCATGTACATATACAGTTACCAACGTCATGCTAAGTTCCCATCAGGCGACGCTGTTTGAGTCGGCGCTCGAAAACACGTGACAAAACCACACGAGATTTCCAAAAAGAGGTTAAGCGAGCTAAGCGCTCCCATGTGGCCTTTAGCAAAATACACAAAAGCCATGCGAGCGCCCATGCATTTCCGAAAACCGTCGTACTTTACTTCTTAGATATAATGATTCTGAAAGCCACTATCTCCATGTGCATAACCTGTAGAGAAGCTAATCAAAGTAGGGTTTGGGGTTGCAAGCTAGTGCAGGCACTCTGGGTGTCATGACTGACCTGACTGACTTTGGTATACAAAGACTACATATGGTGATCTCAACTATGTATAATAATATACTCAGATTTACACTATATGGTGATTCCATGCAAATATAAGAAGTTTATATTTGCACAAGATGAGGGTACATAAATCCACACAAATATAACATGTACATATTTACACAAGATAAGATTACAAGTGCTCTACACAAATATGACATGTGCATATTTGCGCAAATATGATATGTGCATATTTGTGCAAGATGAGATTGCAAGAGTTCCACACAAATATGCACATGTCATATTTGCGCAAGATGAGATTGCAAGAGTTCCACACAAATATGACATGTGGATATTTGCGCAAATATGAGGTTGCAAGTGTTCCACACAAATATGACATGTGGATATTTGCGCAAATATGAGGTTGCAAGTGTTCCACACAAATATGACATGTGGATATTTGCGCAAATATGCACATGTCATATTTGTGCAAGATGAGGTTGCAAGTGTTCCACACAAATATGACATGTGCATATTTGCGCAAATATGCACATATCATATTTGCGCAAATATCCAAATGTCATATTTGTGCAAGATGAGGTTGCAAGTGTTCCACACAAATATGACATGTGCATATTTGCGCAAATATGCACATATCATATTTGCGCAAATATCCAAATGTCATATTTGTGCAAGATGAGGTTGCAAGTGTTCCACACAAATATGACATGTGCATATTTGCGCAAATATGCACATATCATATTTGCGCAAATATCCAAATGTCATATTTGTGCAAGATGAGGTTGCAAGTGTTCCACACAAATATGACATGTGCATATTTGCGCAAATATGCACATATCATATTTGCGCAAATATCCAAATGTCATATTTGTGCAAGATGAGATTGCAAGTGTTCCACACAAATATGACATCTGCATATTTGCGCAAATATCCACATGTCATATTTGCGCAAAATGAGGGCCTTTGATATACCATAACGCAAGCTTAACCTAAAGGTAGTTACAAAATTATGGTTAGAATCGAGATCGGGCATGAAGAACGACGGGATGGAAGGATCGTTTGCAACAAGGCCATAGCATTTGGTGGCGATAATGATCTGGGAAGTTCGTACATTAATGAATGTAAATTTAGGACATCGGTAAGGCACACCTTTTTAATAAACTTGGCGACAAGGCGCTCCGACTCATCGTTTGAGTAAATGTTAGCGGTGTCGATGGTGTTAACACCAAGATCCCAAGCAGCCTTCATTATTTCAATAGAGGGCTCCTCGTCAAGGACCCAGGGCTGTAAGATATTGAGGATGTGGTAAACGAGTCGGGGATAGGAAACAATGACATACAACCCATTTCGGGGAACCGAAGCTCATCGCACCAAGCTATGAAGAATGAATATTAATATCAATAGGAATTCCTTCGAAATCCAAGGCTTAACACAGTTCCCGTGCTGTATACGTACAACTTGGCAGTTGCCGGCAAAGTTCCATGGAAAATCATATCAGCTGTGTTTGGGTAGACTCGGCATTTGGTAAAGAGCGATTGAACAATACAAAGTGTTGTGCATTTTGCGAAACAGGCTCCGCTATCATGAATACACGAGCTCAGTGCAACGACGGAAAGGGCTGTCTTTTATCGTTTTAGTTTGCCCAAAAAAGACTTGATACACAGCTTAATGTTCCATGCGGTAGTGGTGGAAAAAATAACCTGCGTGCGAGGCCCTACATCATTGCGTCACGATTCAGTCAAAGGATCAAGACGGGTGACGTACTAGGTGGCTGCTACTGGAGGCCCATAGCGGGTAACGGATTAAGCAGCGCTGGTCCTGTTTCCCTGGCATATTCAATGCAGGACAGAAGGTACTAGTAGAATTGCAATTCGTCCCAACCACAGCAATGAATACATCAAGATTCTGTAGTTGAACGTTGAACCACAAGTATTCGATCATCCTGAGTGTACGCACATCAATGCTACTTGCACGTTATGTCATGCACTGCGACTCGCCAAGAGAAGCGCGTCGCGAGCGGGATGAACTGGTTGGAGGTCCGTGAGCTTTGGCTTGAAGCTTGAGCACTTGAGCTTGAGGCCTGAGGAATGGGCATAGAAGCTGGAGGCTGAATTTGATCGATGTGGCACGCACTGGACCGCCACCATCTGATGAAGTTCTAAACGGGGCATCACCGTCATCTTGAGTCGAATATCCAGATACAGCGAGGCGGCCATGCTGAACTTGGCCTGACATCAATATTAATATCTTCAGGGTTTCAACCTGCCAACTCATATGTCGCTAACACCGTTGTTGGTCTCGACATTCTTGCAGTCCATCCTGAACAAATCAGCGTCCTTCAGTGCAAGAAGCTGAGTAGTCCGGGAAACGAGTATTGAAGGTTTGGTTAAAGAGCCTGGCGAGCTGAGTGAAAGGGTGGTAGGAGGGTTAGACAATACTTACGAAAAACGTAGAGTATCTTTGATGGTCGTAGGATGCGTTGTTGTTATAAGTACAAAATGGTCGCGGTGCTTTGCAAACAAACGGTTTGTAACAGTGGCGCGCGCACATGGCAGTCACACCATATCAGAAAATGCTCCATCCTTAGAAAGTAACTAATTTGATAGAATAAAGACTAAGGTATTACGGAATCAGTCTGAAACAACAAGAGGATGAGGGTGGAAGAGGACAGCGTGTTTGCAAAACTCAGCCCAGACGTTCCCCCTAATAGAGTCTTGTTCCCATGTAATCGTGGCAATACTCATATCACCTGACTGTTCTAACCACCGCTCGACGAATACACCTTCCAAAGGAATACGGGGATTCCATTTCGGCCAAATGCCCTTTGGGAATAATGGATATGCCGCAATGAAGGCAAGCCAAAAAGCATCACGTCCCCAAGTCCACAGTTGTGTCTCAGAATCGACCTCATCAATTAGCCATCCTTCAATGTTCTTCGATAGTACTGCCCACATGGTCCAGTCAAAGTGGTTGAAGCGTCGAAGCGGCAGGAATGGGATTTGGATGTTATCCGACTCATCTTGGTAGGCAGGAAAACTACCACGACCTTGACTGCACACAGACTGTACTATGTAAGTTGCAAGTTTCAAAATATGCGAGGACCACAGACTCACATCGCCATCCAAATGTGATGCTTCCCTAGTGCTGGAGCATAGATCCATCGATGCCGCCTCCACAACTGGCGAGGTAAAGTCTTCTGCGAAAGAAATTGAAATCTGAATAGGCTGTCATGTATACCAATAGTCAGAAACCAGTTTTGATGTTCGATGGCTGCCACTGCTCACGATATTCTGTTCAACAATCTGCGTTGGAAGTCTGCCTGAGAAACAGATTGTGAGGAGTACAGATTGTGATGGGCCTTGTTCGACACCCTGGAATTCAATATCAGGATAAACAGTTATTATGTTGGTAAGTAGTCTGTTTGCCATTGAGTGGGAGTTGAAGCGTTGAATGAAGAGGATGACGTGCCAGAACGTGAGAGCATTAATATTGGACTTCAAGCTTCAAGAATCATGTCACATGTGCATGTGACAGGGTTCAATTAAGTTAGTAAGCCGAGTAGTCAAGCTGACGGGGTGATGCTTGCAGGGGCGCGCCCAATGCACCAAATATGTAGGTATTTCGAGACGATACAGGAGTGTTCCATGTCTCACCTCGTATCTGCACTTCTGGAGCATCGTCCAACTTGGACAACATGATTGTGAAGGCCTCGATGGCTTCATCGGAACGTTGCGCGCCACGCAGCGCTGAGTGTGACAAATAGTACCCAACATGAGACGAAGGGTTGAGTTCGGTGACCTATGCATCACCGAAGTCAGCATGGGCTATGAAAACGTGGATGCCATCGCACCTTTTGCGCGTCGAGGAGCGCATCCTCCCACAGCATTTTACTTAACTTTGCCTCGCTGCGACTTGCAAAGAAGACATCAGATGCAGAATCCAGGTCGATCGCCATCGAGTATAGGTCAATAGCCTTGTCGTAATCGCTTGCAGTGAAGGCAGCCTCTCCATTGGCAGCGCAGAGTGCGCTGCATTCCTGTTTGAAATCTGAGAAGAATACAGGTGAGGATTGTCGCCTGCGTGACATTACGGGTTCTAGACTCGCCATTGGACCAATCAAGGCAGTCGGCATCGGTAATTTTGTCACTTGAAGTCATCATGTGTTGGTATGACTTCACGGCATCTTGGAGTGTACCCACCCGAAGGAGTGCATCACACCGTTTATGGTGTGCCTTTCGCCACAACGGCTTCAGGTCCCAGCCAAAAAGCTGGACAAGGGATTCAGTCATGAAAAGCGTTATACATGCATCATCTTGACGTACAGGGAATGTTCGATTTCGATGATGCATCGCGAGAGTCGAGAGCGGCAGTGAAATAGTCGGCAGCTTCGTCGTAGTGTGAGACATCCAAGGCTTTGATTCCGAATTGAACGTGTAGATATGCCTAATGTGCGAGTTGTAAAGATGATTGTTGATGACCAAGCATGGATGGCACTTACTTGCACGATGCCACATGCGAGAGTGTCCGATGTCGGCATTCAGACAACCGGCAGTGAGCTCTTTGAGGTGCATGTTTGCCTTGTCGTGTTGATCTGCATTGAAGAGCGCGATGGCTTGAAATATGCGATGAAGGGAAGAGTGTGCGAGGCAGATGTAACATACCTTGATCAATAGTGAATCCTGGTCCGTGCACATGGATGCAACATCAAATCCTGCCCTTGCATACAGGACGCAGCCTTTTCCACAGAGGGCAATACCCTTGGAGATATAGCCCGTCAATGAGGGTTGAATCCTGATGGACTATGTCACCGTCAAGTTAGCCCTATATAAGGCGGCGATTATTCTCACCTTGATTGCGTCCAGAAGGGCGCGGTCCCAGTCGTGTTTTCGCGCCATGACGAATGACCGATGGGCGTAGGAAGTATGGTTGTTCGGACTGGTATTGATATCTTGAGTGAGTAGTTCTTCGGCGGTAGATAAGTCTCCATTCACACATGCAATACGAAAGGTCGTGATGGCTAGGATCTGCAGGAAACACGCTCTAATTGTGGTATATATGAGTCAAGAACGGAAACATGCCTTTGAGCGTAGGGAGTATGGTTGTTTGGATCGGTATTGATATCTTGCATGAGTAGTTCTTCGTCAGTAGATAAGTCACCATCTATGCATGCATCGCAAACTGTGGTGGTGGCAATAGTCTGCAAGAAGCATGCTCGACTTGTGGTATATGAGTCAGAGACGGAAACATGCCTTTGGATGTACACCTTGAGGTACTGTCCATTCCAAGATCATCTTATCGCCGTCTCCGCTGAGGATGTGCTTGCCGTCCACGGAGAAAGTGACGCATGTCGTGTAGGATGAGTGGTTGAATGAGAGGTTGAAGACGGCAATGATTTGTCGATCTGAGAGCTGCCAGAGACGAACATGGTTGTCACTAGATGCGGATGCGACGAATGTGCCAGCAGGATGGAATTGATATTATTAGTGTGGCCCGTCCAGGGATCAGATCAATCACCGACCTGCTTCCAGGTTGTTGTATCCCATTCGCGTATAGTAGGATCTACCCTATTACCACCTGTGAGAAGGCGTGTGCCATCGGGCGTCCACGCGAGTGCCAACGAGTTCAATAATTTGTGACGCTCGAAGGATGTGACGCGTTTCCTGGTGCCTGAATTGTAAATTTGAATATTTTGGTCGATGGTGAACACCGTACGCCGCGCCGAAGCTGCCGCGAGTATTGTCATTTAACTATGTAGTGGCAAAATGTGGTAAAATGTCAAAACCCCCACTGTGTCTCTATCGACTCGCAGAGGGTCACTGGTCTAGGTAAAACCAATATGTACATGGTACTATTTACTAATCAGTTTTGTTTTGCCATGGTTTGGCAGCCGAAAGGTGGCTGAGCGCTGAGTGGTAATAGGGCATTGTACCTGTGAGACGGTCAGCAGCATGATCATGATTTGCCGGACGATGGGGACAGAGAACGGACGGGACAGAGCGGACAGGATGGACATCAACTTTCATTCGTATACTATCCCTTACAAACCATGACTAGTGTCTTCTGGTCTATACAGTCCTAGAGTGAGCATTGACCAACGTAAATTCGTTCTCTGAGAAAAGACAGCCGTCGCGCAACTTTAGTAGTATACACGCAAGATGGCAAGCACCGGTCATGCCGGGTATCGAAAAGATCATATGAGAAACTTGCATGCGACGCTTCACAGTTTCTGGTTCTGTTTTACCTCTTTTTCATACCCTCAACTAACACCCATCTCAAAACCTTCCCAGTTGGCGACTTCAGAATCTACCCAAGGGCTCATCCCCCAAAACAAAACCCTACCGTCTCCACAATCCTAATGCCTCCTCAACCACTTATACCGAGTCAGGTGCTTCTGCACCCATGCATCGAGCTGTGTCACAACCTCTTTCTTACACGACACTGCGCCCGCAGGGGATAGCACGATCCACGCGCGCAGCATGCGCTCGTCCGGGGTGCGCCCACCTGAAACACCCGCGACGCTTATATTAGTAATGAGCTTGTCGGATTGCGCCAGGATCATGTTCTCGATTTTGACGGGAGATACTTGCATCCCTGCAATTTTGAGCGTGTCCTGTAAGGACGGGGATCAGTACAATGCACCAGTTGTGGTGATGGATGGTGCTGTTTGCCTTGGTGCGGTCTTCGAAACTGCAAACAGAGCAGATCGACTCTAGTATGCTAGTATGACTGGGGATATTGTACTCGTCAAATCGATTTACCAAAGTATCTCGTTTTCATCGATCCGCATCTGGTCGCCTGTGCACATCCATCCATCGACAAACGTTTCCCGAGTCGCCTTATCGTTTCCCTTGTATCCCAGAGCCACGGACGAGAAGTTCGCTCGGCTCATTCGTGCCTGCAAGGGACCCGTCGGGACGCACAACGCGGGCTTGGACAAAAATTCCAGTAGAGCCAGGCTTGTTTTTGGCGCATCCATCGAGCATGGGCTTCATAGCGATGGCCATTGTCTATCTCAGACAACGACGTCAGCGAGCTGGAAGGAGCAGAAGAGATCGCTTACGAATTCAAACATGCCGTAACATGTGAAGATTAACAGTAGCACCACAGGGGTTTGCACACGATACTAGAGGACGCACCTTCGGTAACTCTTGGCATGTCTGTGAAACGAGCGCAAACCCGGATAGCGAGCTGGGGCGGGATGTACGCGGCGCCACTTGCAATTACCTTAACCGACTTTATATCAGCAATTTTGAAGCGTGGATGGTGAACGAGTTGGTGTAGAAGGGAGGGGACCAGGAACATACTGGTGGCTAGCAGGAGAGTCAGGGAGACCAAGAAAGTAGCGTTGGAAGACATACAGTCTGAGTTTTAGCCACTTCCATACCGTTTACCATTGTTGAGAGGTGCGTCTATGTTTCTGTGATTCGGAAACGAGACCAGTGGCAAAAAGAGACACAAACCTTTGGGAGGACCGCTTGTTCCACTGGAATAGATTAAGTAGGCCAGAGTGTCCTTGGTAACATAACAGACCGGCAGATGTAGGATACCATTCTTTCGAGTAGAGGAGATGAGCTTTATTCTCTCCTAAGAGGTAAATCCGATCTGCTGGGAGACACGAAGTCGAAGCAAGTTGCAGTAACGAGGGACTGGTAAAGATCCTAGTCGGAGCAGAAGCAGATGCAGCGAACAGCGGCAGTACAGGCGTGAGACCGAAGTAAAATGAAAGGACTGCGGTTGCTGCACTAGTAGGTGCTGCAAGTGTTTGATGTAGCTGGCTTGGCAAGAAGGTTGGGTATACAGGGTAAGCGTTGTCGTGGGCAGGCCCCCGGAGCTGCAGGGGCTATCTGTGGAGTAGACGGGGTAGGTTCAGAGGGCGAACTACAAAGTGAGACCATGATCTACGGAAATGGAACCAAAGGATGAAGGAACATGAAGTAAGGAATGCAGGCAAGGCTGTGCAAGGCATTCTGAATCAAATAGTAGTTGTTTTTCCCTCCAAAGCTGCAACCCTTGCGCGAAGTTGCTCAATTTCAGCCTGGAAAAGAATCGTAATCAACAAACGAAAAATATATTTGCAGAGAATAAGTAGCCCACCTGTGCTCGGCGATCCCGTTCAACTGCATCTTGCTGCCGAAAGACCAGTATCGTCAACAAATGGAGACATATCTTCTAAGAATAGCCCACCTGTACTTGACGAACCAGCTCATCTGCAGCTTGCTGCCGTTCATGTGCAACTTGCTGCCGAAATTCAAGTATTGTCAACAAATGAAGACATATATTCTAAGAATAGCCTACCTCTGCTTCTGCGAACCCTTCTTGTCGACTCTGCCAAGACCATTACCATCAATGAACGAAGACCACATTTGATAAGAATAGCCTATCATCATTATAATGACCATGCGACAAGGGGGTATGATTATTGACGTCGTCATCGCCGTCGGTAGATGCTAGCGACTGTTGAGTACAATATCGAGCGCAGAGATCTCACTTCAGTTTGAGTGGAAGGACTGAAATAAAATGACACGGGTGCGAGAATTATATACCTGTCCATGTTAGCGATGATGTAAAGAATTGTACGTGTGCGCAGTAAGTGAATGTAAATATAAACAAATGAAAAGTAATAGCTAGACTTGGATGTTATGTCGGATTATCCAACAGGACTGTCTGACGACAAGCTTATCAGTAACCTCAGTGTCAACTGAGCTGAGGGTAGTGGTAAAGGTAGGGAGGCAGAAGGAGGGCCGCAGGTCAAATTCCCCGATGAAGAGGGTGTACGCTGCAAAGGGGCCGGACACTTCATAGCTCATTGCCGAAACCTCTCCTGCTACACATGCTACTGTCTGTAGCGCAAGACACATCTGTATTGCTTCCCGAAAGACTGGATCCATGAGCAAGGTCGCTCCAACGTTTACGAGAGATCGAGAAATGATGTGGAGGGCTCGCAGCTGGCAGCTTAAGGCAGCTACTTGAACACTTGCTTGAGGGAGTAGTTGGTTCCATGCTAACAACAGCGGGTGACAGGGCGGAAGCTGTTTGAGCAGACTGGGTCGGTTCTGGAAGATGCTCAGGAAGTGTAAACAAATCAGAAAAATCGTCGATTATTTCATAGTAAGGAGCGTTCTCTGCAGAGGGTTGAAGAAGTGGTGTTGATGTGGCGGGTCGGCTATTTACAGTGCTGGAGCTGCGGGACTCCAGGGAAATAACATTGCAATGGGCTACAGGGGAAGAAAGAGTGGCGGATGAACGAGTGGTAGGGGTGTTTGTTGACTTGTACGATGAAGAAAATCGTGCCTTCAGAGTTTTGATAGGAGATGAGAAATGGGCGGCGAATTTGGAGCCCAGTGATGGCAGCGACGCATTCAATGGAGAACTCGGAAGGGAAGAAGGGAGCCGTTCGTCAAACAGAGATCCATCTGCAGTTGAAGCAATGGCGAAGAGTCTACAGCGATATGCAATCAAGTAATGGTGGTTTTAGCAAAAAATGAATGCACAGTCCAGACGAAAAACTCACTGTTTGCCGACAGATGGTGAAGGAGCATTGGTGAACTTTCTAGGCAAAGTTGAAGTTGAATTGAATGCCCGATCGGTCTTCTTCCTTCCAAGGAAGGACAGCATACATAGAGCGCCTGGACTTGTGCTTTTCTTCAGATGTGGTGTCCAGAAGAGCACCAGTTTTGGGAAGCGGGCGCAAACCACGCGAGCTGCGGAAGATTCCGAGTCTGAGATCTTCGGTTCATGAACGCTGTGAAGTTAGAATTCCGGTCATCCGTCCATTCATTTACTTACTCCCTTCCTTTCCTTTGTCGACTTTTATGACATCTGCACTCTTTTTCTCACATATCAATACAACAACACTCTTGCTCCCGAGTTCCATGAACAACTGAATCAGGACCTCCCCCTATCCACTCACTCATCTCATGCACATATCGGACAGTCGTCAGCATCATGGTCTAGTTCTTACGGATCGCTATTTTCTGCCGCCCCCACTACCAATGAGAGGTCTAGGCACCTTCTTCTCAAAGATGCAGGACCTTACCTACGTGAGACACTGCACATCCCACCGTACAAGGAGATCAACTTGCGGGCGCTTCCGGATCCTCCCAAAGGGGAGAAACCAAACCAGCCCTATCCTATACTGATCAAGCTCGCGATCTATGGAAGCCCGAACAAGCAGCTCACGCTACAAGAGATATACACAGCCCTCGAGGACCGTTTCAGATGGTTTGACGATCGACGAAACGAGAAGGCTTGGAAGGTGGGTTTTCGTTTCGATTCTTCACCTATTCCAACTCATGGCTGTGCACAGAACTCGATTCACCATAACCTTTCTTTGAACAAAGTCTTCAAACATGTGCCCCGTGCCATCACGGAGACGGGCAAAGGAAGCTATTGGCAACTCGACTGCTCTGGTGGTGAGGGTTACAAACGCCCTTGTAAGCGCCGCAGCAAGTCTGCTCGAACAGTGCTTGAACAGGGTGATGATGACAATTCTTCGTTGGAAGGTGGTGACATGGTGGGGATGATTTTACCTCAGGCTGACATGCCAGCAGGTTCGAGTCACACTCCAAATTGTTTTAGTCCCGCCGCAGCAGCATCCGACGACTCCTACATTGATCCTGGGTTGAGACGGGGAAGTCACATTGTTGGCGAAGGTCGAACTCGATCTGCATCGCGCAGGCCTGCCGCCAGTCCCTATCGACGTAAACTTGTATAACAAGTTACCTTCTACCACTTGTGCCGTTCTCTGAGTGGCTCGAATCAAGCGCCAAGGACTTGAGCAAAAAGAGACCATGAAGCGCATCGTACGCGTATCTCGATAACTGGTCAGAACGTTTCCCATCTAGTCTTCAATTGCAGTCTGCTATCAAGCTTCATTTTCTCACCCATGCGACACCCCATCCAATCTCAGTTCCATTGATACATGATTCTGTTATAGTGCGTATCACTCACCCATCAGATGCGTTTATCTAGAGCTTGTTTGCGATGACTGCATCCACCAGTCAGTCGTGTCGTATCCACTTAAGCACAAGTTAGTTGTTCGGAGCTCTCGCATTGAGTACGTCAGCATACATACGCCTAGAATCCAATGTTGTTTATTATAAAAAAATCTTGGCTATCAAGTGCGCTCAGTTGGCTGAACTCATTATACAGGATTTTTCCAAGTAGGTTAGGTTTAGGTACAGGTTTACTTCTCGCCATTCCATATGCAAACGGCTGTAAGGTCGAGTTATTATCAAATCAAAGCTCGTGTCCACGTTTAGTCATGATCTTGGTCATTGGCTCTCAATCACGCATCATTACCTGCAGAAATTGCTCCTAGTAATATAATATTGTCCTGTTCACCCTTACTTGCCTTACATTTATAATGTGTCTTATAATTACCTCACCTTTTGCCAAGTTGTGATTCTGGACCATCATATAGTACTGTGAACCCCAGTATCATTCCTCCTGGCCTATAATATGCCATTTGTCACCTCGGTAGCCGCTTCACTCATCATCAACCCACCCTCCAATGCTGACTCGGACTCAGACATGTGGATATTCAATGGCTACTGTGGACCGAGTCCTCCGTCCAAGCAACTTGGTGTTGGCGACATGATCACTGTTTATCAATACACCCTGCAGATGAGTTCCGTCCCCACCCCTTCCCCCGTATTTACTGCTACCATTACGCACATTGTGGGGTGGGGTGGGGGCCATGTTAAGTTTGGTGTGCATGCCCAGGCCACTGCTGGCATGCTGACTTACCCTTGCACCATTTGTCTTCCACTACGGATATGCCGTCTCTTTTGGTGGCAGCGACTCTGGGGATGGATATGTCCTTTCCCTCGCTTATCTGTGATCCTGCAGTCACAGTGATTCCATCATGTTGATTCATTTGTCAGTATCCATTTGCTTGCCTTGTATCACTCAGCAGCCTATTGCGACTTACCCTTTCATTCATAGGTTCCAAGATGCGCTTAAGTCATGAACTCTAGCAGGGCCCTTTGCAATTTTACTTACACCATATAGTGAGATCTATATTTTAAAGCACACTCGTTGATATTATTTATTACCTATTGCGGTTCCACTTATCGTCTTCTATAAAGCGCTGGAAAATCAAAACACGAGTCTCGAATTTGATAGCAAACAGAATATTGGTGAGGACCCCGAGCTGAGAGGGAAAACATGAATTGTCCCTTCGTCGAGGCCTGCGCCGCTGAGCACTCGCCAAGCTGCTGTTCTTCGAACCTGTGAAGATGTCCGTCAGCACAAATTAGGGATGATACATAGTCACGGCATCAGCAAAAGTGGCGCAAGCTGACAAGGCCTCGGCAAATGCCGTAAGCCTGGCATAGGCTTCCAGATGCGGCTACAAGCCTTGGAGGCGTCACACCAGGCATTGCAAGGCTCGCAAATGCGAAGTACTGTTATAACCGCTTAAGACAAGTCCATTCAATGCCGCAGAACTCAGAGTGCAACTTTTGCTGATGCTGTCCATTGGTACGATCCTTCGTCACTTCAGTCATTCATCGTAAACTCTCGCATACTGCAAGCATTCGCTCGAACATTGTTGGAGGACAATGGGGCGGTCACATACATTCTCCTTGATATGTTCCCTACACTGGTGAGTACTATGTAGACAACATAGTGTTTGCCATGCTGATCACATTCTAGTACTCGGCATAGTCGCCATAATCCTCCTCGTTGTCTGCAGCGCCCTCCCCGTCCTCAGTGCCAAGATCAATCTCGCTATCACTGTCGCCATCATCTTCATCATCCTCAATGTCATCCTCTATCATATGCTCCTCCAGATCTCCATAACCAAATTCGCTGTGCTCATCCTCCAACTCTGAGCTTGCATCTTTGTCAGCTTTGTCATCTGAGTCTTCCTCTGCATTGAGTTGATCAACACGCTCCGGTGCTCTATCCTCAGGCTCTTCTGCGTCTTCAGGCTCATCCTATCGGCCTTTCCTCTTCGGGCGCGCCCCTGCAAGTGTCACCCCGTCACCCTATCAACAGGTTAGGTATGCGGAAGTGACTTCTGCGCGAAGTTGAAATTGATAGGTGCAACCATCGTGAACCATGCGGAAGACGTCTGCGACTCCGATGCTGGCGCGGGATGTGGGCTATTCAATGCCGAGAAGATGGGAATGAGTTCGTTATTTCAGTTCTGCCTTGCCCCCTCATTTACGCAATCCACTCAGACACTTCACATTCCTGACCGAGTGCAAAAACCCTAAAGCGTGCATCATTCTCCTCTGCGGCCCCTCCAAGGACATACTCGACGAAATCGATCGTAATCTTGCAGATGCTCTGAGCGTTGTGCGCAATGCATACTTTAACCCCCTTCTCGCACCGGGAGGGGGTGCGACTGAGATGGCGATCAGTGTGGGGTTGCACACTAAAGCACGCAGTGTTACTGGGGTTGAGGGATGGCCATTCAGAGCTGTTGCAGATGCTATGGAGGTGATCCTATGGACTCTGGTGCAAAATAGCAGCGGAAATGCTATCTGGGTGCTGACAGAGCTTGGGGTGGGTGATCATAGTTCTGTGGAAAATTTGCCCCTCATTTACGACTTCCGATAGGCTAAACATGCGACTCCCCTGCATCTTGGAACTGACCTGGAGGTGAGCAGACTGTTCTTCTTGGGGTCCGTGAGTTTACTCTGAACCACAGATTGCATTGTCTGCTGTTACAGACGCTGATCATATGCGAAGCTGCACCAAGATCATACAGCTGATGCTGCAGACTTGGAGTGGGTGTGTTGCTCAAATTTGTATTTAAAGACAAGAACTCACCCCAATTCAAGGAGATAGCGCTAGTCATATTCTTTGATTTGTTCAATATCAAGGCTCTGCAATAGTATACAACATTCATAGAAGGTCGGCGGCTTACGAGTAGGTCAGCTAGTTATCACGGGTTGTTGGTAACTCAATGGCGCGCTCAGTGTACCGAAAGCCTCGAGCATCTGCGGATCAGCTCGCAGATTAGAAACTTCCGGAGAAGGCTCCTGAAACACTAAAGCTCATTGACCAATACATAGCCCTCGTCCTTGTATTCACGGACGCCGGTCCGATAGATGTAAGGATATATTCATGGTACATCTCCTCTTAACCTGACAGCCAACAGGCACTCACGGCAATGCTTGAAGAATGCACCGCTGGCTCCAACCTGTCGCGTAAAGCAACTCTGCTAATGGCAGAGGTTATGCAGATGACGAACAGAGTACTTCCCCTGGGTGTTGCTGCCAAGATACGGGTATGGTCTGCGTCCAATTTATCTCTCTGAATCTGAATCCATTTTAGGCTGTTCTACGCGTGTTTAATCTGGCAGCAGATTACAACCGAGGAGAACATAGGATAGTCGGAACATCTGCTCTATCGGCAATCGATATCTTCAATCGTAATCGTTTGAGACTGCAACCTTGTGTTAGGAATGCACATCCAAGGTGAGCGCTTGTGCATGGCCAGGAGACGTATGTTTACCTGGTATCATAGGGCGAACTCTACTAAAGACGCAGTCCGGAAAGGGCAGAGACAAGTCGAGCAGGTCAAAATCAAGATGGGGATGCAGATGGACGATAAAACTTTCTAATTGTTGTTGTTCGAGACTCATGTGCGTCTGCTTTCGGATTCGTGTTGTGGGTCAGGTTAACTTTGCCTCAGGTTATAATGGCAAAAGACAGTGCGAAATGGAACTTTGAGTTGCTTCAAGGGCTGATCGAGGGTCCATTGCTAAATCTCAAGTGATTGGAAGAAGTCATCAAAGTAGCAAGATTCATGCGACGACTGCTATTGTTATCGTTTGTCCATCCATTCTCTCATCGGTTTTCTGGCCTTCCAAGGAAACAGGTATATCGCAGTCTTAAATCATGGGTGCTTCATGCTAATCATAAATCGCAAGCCCAATATTCGGTGGTTGCGATTGGGAAGCTCTTTTCTCACCGCGTTACTGGCTAGTCCTGATGGGATCCGGTTCCTCGCTTCGAAAGATGACTTGTTGAAACAAAAAGCAAAGTGTTTTGCTCAGTTAGACCCTGTATGCTTTTATCTAGTTGGCCCCATGATTTCATTGACGCCAACATATCCTGGCGGGCGATCAGGCCTAGGTCATAAAGTCGGTGGGTAGAAATCGGTGGGCCTGTGAAGGGCGAACACAATTTTAAGAGGAGGAGGAGGAGCGAGGCTGAATCGCGAGAGTACCCGTCTGCAATTTGTCGGCGCAATTAACCACCCAGAGGTGGACATGTACCTATTCCAATATTGTCACTTGCTGCACATGTGTGATAGATATTTGAACAACTTGCAATAAGTCTGAAGGAATTGTTCAGTCGACAATCTAGACTCTCGATCGAAGCTTCAAGTGGCCAGAAAGAAGGGTATGCGTCGAACAAACAGGCTGCCGTAGGACTCAAAAATAATGAATAGCATTATTGATAAAAGTAGCAGGGATACATGATACAGGAATCGCCAAAGGAGATCCATAGATGAAAGCCATATTACAATACATATATACAAATGTAACCGAGGAAGGCATGCTGCGTCATCCATCACAACGAGAGAGCTGAGCAAAAAGAGCTGAGCACCGCAGTATGGGTGAGATGACTGAAAACTTACTCGATATCCGAGAGTGCAGGCTGGTCTTGGTAGTTTCGTTGCTTACGTCCATCGTGAAACGGTACGAATCGAAGGCTTGTCTGAGCATGCTGGCCCCAAGGAGTGCAAGGATCAGTTTCTGGTTGAAAATTTGCCACAATGCCTCGATGTCTCATCCGAAGAGCTGCAAAAAAGGCGCGGTTGAGCACGGGTGAATTTTCCGGTGATGACATATCAATGTACCACAGTGAAAGCCTCGCGGGCGGTAGGAGCGATGGATTTAAAGCAAGTGCTAGCCTTGACCGTGGCAGTGAAGTGCTCGACAGCCTCACTGTGATGCGCGCCATTCAAGGCAATGGTTCCTGGTTGGACTCGAAGACTCGCCTGATGCACGAACATAAGCGTGATTGAAAACGTGAGACTCACCACCACGACACCACAAGCAAGGGGATCGGTAGACAGCTGATCCACAGGCAGTATTGCCTCTTTGATTCTGTTGGCATTGAAGAGCGCAATAGCCTGAAACACATAATGAAGTGCGGAATATGCAAGACGAGCAAATTAATTTGCCTTGATCAAGTAGAGGAACGCAATAGCATCCATATTTCCTTGTATGAACGTGAACGCCAGATCAAAGGTCGTCCTCACATCGTCGAGAAGCTGCTGTCCACAGAGGGCGATACCTTTGGCGATATAGCCAGCCAACAATGTCTGTATGGCAAGGGACTACAAGACCATCAAAGTCAGCGGATTTTTAGTTAGCGTGTGATGGGTCGTTGTCACCTTGGTTGCATCCTGAAGTGCATTGTTCTAGTTGTGTTTGTGCGCCATTACGAAAGAGCAGAAGGAAGTTTTTGGTGTCAGTAGTATTATCTTGAGTGAGGACCTTTTTAGCGGTGAACAAGTCCCCTGCGATGGATGCAGCACGGGTGGTCTTGGTGATAGCGAGGAGCTCAGCCATGGTGTGATAACCAGCGTCTGCGTGAAAAAGCGTGAATCGCGCTATACAAGCAAAGAATGAAATCATACCTTTGAAACAGCCTGTCCAACCATTGGAACACCCTGCTCAAACTTTGAAACACCACTGCTCAATCATTGAAACGCCCAGCTCTAACTTAGAAATACGCTGCCCAACCTTTGAAACACCCTGCTCAGCTTTTAGAATAAACGGTTCGACCTTGGGAACAGACTGCTCAGCGTTGATGACACGAGCTATGTGGCAGAGGTTGTATTTGGAGAGGACTTGAGGGGCAGCAATGTTGAAGCGATTAAGTTAGTGGAGGTGCACCGGTGAGGTCGTTGATGGATAAGCCTGTAATGATGACTTTTATGAAGATCTGATTATCAAGTGAGATGTAGAATGCAATGGGATGGAGGAGAACACATCCTTTCAAGTTGTTTTTCCTCGCTGCGAGGAAAATTGAGCATTTTGTCTGCATTTTCGAGGAGGGTGGTGGCTTTTGTTTCGGCCCGGGTTTGGGCGACGTTGGGGGCAGATGTGAAGACGGTCACTTTCGCGCCTGAAGTCAGTGTTAGTCTCCTTTGCTGTTGAAGGAAGTGGGACTCAAACGGACGGAAAAAGTAGATGTCAGATTTCATTTGTCTGTGATTCAGACTAGGGTGGACTCACGTGATATCTGCACCTGGAGCCCAGGAAATTTGGTCATGGCAAGGTTGAAGGGGGACCGTTTTACCCCTTGCCATGACAAAGCTGCCCTAGCATGACCCGTCCACCCCGGCTTAGAATATTAGGATTTGTTGTAGTTGCTTTTCGTGACCAGGGTCTGAAGCTTGTTTGAGAAAAAAAGATGTCTTCCGGATTCTCGCCCATTGGCATGTTGCCACATTTCTTCCTCAGTACCGCGTGCCGGAAGAGCCAACAAATGCATCAGCAGATAGACATACTCCCAAGCTAGGGACACATCGGCCAACCACTGGCTGAGCATGGCGGTGTCCCAGCTGATGCTATTGGTTGCATCGTCCCATCGACACAGGGTGCCAAGATTGGAGAGAGAGTTGAGTAGGACTGAAGAATCTCCGAGGTCCGAGTCATTAACGTCAAGGGAGAACGAAAACAGGCCATAGCCCCTGGTGTCCTCATTTTGATCATCTTCTGACGGCACCTCAAAGCTGGATTGTGGGAGTGAGATATTGAAAAGTACTTTGGCGTGAACGTGGGAGATGCAGTCTTGAAGAGTTGACTGGCATGCGGCGTGATACTGCTTGATATTGACCGTGTGCGTCAGAAGGCGGACGGAAAGCTTGTCGTCCTGATCTAGCCACGTAACGATGGCTTTGGCAGGTGTCTTGCGAACGATCCAGCTCAATGATTTGATCCACTCGCGCACGAATCCACAAGGGGTGTTTTTCATTTCCGCTGTCCATTCCTCGATAATATCTTCACAGTATCTGGTGCTGCCATTGCGTCATTTCAGACAAGTTCTGCCAACGAGAACAAAAACTCACTGATCCCAGTCCTTCCCAGGGTTTCTCAGCCCGCGCTTCAGAACATCTAAGTCTCCCTGATCAGCCTCAACTGTACTTTTGACGGTCTTCCGGTAGACGCTGAACTGCCGGTCTAAGAAGTCCATGATGAAGAGCTGAATGTCGAACTGTGTCCGGACTGTAGTACAGGTTATGAGCTCTGGTGTGATAAATCCACCATCTGGATGGACGGCGCGAAGACAAACAAATGCGGCGACTGGACTGATGTACCGGTTTTGGAACATATCCAGGGTGTTGGAGGGCATATAAAGCTGTTCCAAAACATTGTGTATGGCGTCGGTGAAATCCTCACAGCCCGCCTGCGATGATGCGAGCAGCTTCTGAAGCACAGCTAAGGCTTCTAGCTGGCCGTTGGTGAGGAAAAGATGGTAGGAGCCGTTGGTCGTAGACTTGGGGCCAATAGGAAGCAGGGTGTACGTCTTTTGGGCTATACACCTGAGAACAAAGCATAATAGTCTCACTTCTTCAGAAGCGTATGCAATGCGGGTGTCCCGGCAAGTGGGCGCATTGAAGCGCTCGGCCAAAGCTTTCGCTCCACTACAGTTGAAACATCTGTATTAGCGCTAATAATAACAATAAAAAAACAGGATGCATGAACTCACTTTCTTGGCTTAACTAGAAGCTTGCGGATCACTAAATTGGCGTGAGGAACCTCCTCACAGAGTCCCTCAATGCGGAAAATGACAGCCTTCTGGAGCCTTTTCAGCTGCCTTTCCCCTTTGGCAGGAAGGGATACCAGGTCACATAACGCAGCTGCTTCATATGGTGCGATATGTTCTGATGCACCGACCTGTTCAAAAAAGGGTAGCACGGCCTTCTTCATGAGTTTCTGTGTCCCTTGGCCGGAAGCTGCAGGTATCAAGCGTCGCAGTTCAGTTGCTAGGATAGATAAGCCGCCTGTCTTCTGCGGATTACTACCGACTTCACCATCGCCACCCCTGACCGCAAAATAAAGAGCTCTCTTCAAACCCCAATCGAAGGCTTGGACTTGAATGACTTTGGAGTCACGGCTCACATTGCAATTGCTCTTGCCACGACCAGAAAACTTGACATTGTGGTTCTGCCAATGCTCTCTAAACCCCTTGTTAGTGTTGTGATCTGGCCAGGCGTAGTCGCATCGAGAGCACTGGCGGCCTGGTACAGGCTTCCCAATGTGCTGTATAGGTCCGCGCTGATGAGCCAGTGGTCGCAGCGCCCGAAGTTCAGCATTCGTCAGGACGACGTTGGGAAAGACCCGCAAAATATCTGCATAGACTGTGTTGATCCGTGGGTTACTTTTGCCCGCATGTTTCAAAAGAGCCACAGTATGCGGGTGACGGGTGTTGTTGTTGACAGACAAGCCTCTGGGCATGGTGTAGCAGTGGCTTGCGAGCTCAACCAGCGGTACACCATACCCACAGTATTCACCGTTATGGAGGTGTCGGCAAACAATTAGGTCGTAGTCCTCCAGATACGCACACTGAACTTTCTGGAGAACATCGTGGTTTTGAATATTGTTGAGAGCGGGAGATGTACTGGGGTCAAAGCACGGGCTAAATTCTTCGATGATGTTCTTCCGACTAACAGTGGAAAGTTGGAACAGATGTAAGTCACGCACAAACCCAGAGCGTTAAGACATCACTTACTTCCCAGGAGGGAACAGCCTGCGATTCACCGTTCTTCCAGATATTTTGGAGACATCAATGCCAAACTTCCGGAGTCGATCCAGTTCATCACCAGGGATGCTCACTTCAGAAGGATGGAAAGGCGTGGCGTTGGCGGACGAAGAACTTGAACGCAGAGGTCCCTGAGTGATATATGGAGCTGGCGGAACCAGGACAAACGGTTGAACCTTGGGTAAGTTGATGATTTTTACTGAAGCCTCCAAGTCTGTGGCAGGGCCGATGGACCCTGAGGTATGTTCTGGCTGGGCCGATGTAGAATCTTTGGCTCGAGGGGGCACAGTACCGCTACCAGTGTCGTCATCTGAATCTTCTTCACCAGATGAATCCACATCAGCCAACGCCGCCATAAAATCTTCTCCAGCATCATCATTGTTGTCGTCCCCGATGGCCAGATATTCCATGCCCTGGACAACGGCCTTGACGTCAGCCTGTTCGGTGCTGATGGCTAGATCTTGGACCACAGCCTCAGTGTCGAGGCCTTCTGGGTGCAAATCTTGTAAAACATGAGCATGGAGGCCGATGCCATAGAGAGAGTCAATCGACAGATAGTACCTTGCATTATCTGACCCACGTCAGCGCCGATCGTAACATCAACCCCGTCATCAACAGCCTCATCATCACCGCTATCTTCATCTTCCTCCTTAGAAGTACCACTGAAGTGAGTGACCGATGGCGCTGTTGAAGCCACTGGAAAGGAGAAATAGCATTTTTCGACCGACAGACTTGGAGACGGCCCTAGAATTCACCTGCATCAGGCCCAGTAGTAGTCATAGTAGTCATCGACGCGGTCAGGACCGAGGTGAGTCTGTCGATTATTGATTTCTCAAATGCGCTCTTCTCGTTCTCAACCCTGATTGGCCATGATTTAGTCAGTACGCGGCCAGCCATAGAGCAAGTCTTTCCATACGTGTAGACAATCGGACTTCCCTGGTGGAATCCAGCTATTATTGAACACATTTTGAAGCCTGATCCTGCTATGACCTGCTTCTGATATTCTTTGAGCATTGATATGCCAAAATGAAAGACGCTGCACGTTTTCAATCATCATCGGAGCGCTTGAGCTTTCCACCGCACTAGAGGAGGGGGAAGGATTTTTGCTTACGGGCCTATGGCTTGTTCCATTGTGCTGCTTGTTTGATCGCATACCATTGTGCAACGGCTTGTAGGTACGGGTTGACTCTGACTCGGAGGGGTGCTTCAGAAAGTACGTACTACCTAGGTGTTCAGAGGGATCAATCGAATTAATCAGTAAGCCACAACGACGACCCTAACCCTAATTAATTAATATATAATATAGGAGCTGGATATCCAGCAAGAGGTTTGACTGTGCGGCGACCATGGCAGCTGTAACATCCCGAGGTCTATCAAAAGCCTGAATATGCAGCCGATGACAGATATCCCTGAGTACAGGAGAGATATAATCCGGAATGTTCGGATACCCGCACTCCATCGCATACAGCGCACAGGTAATATCAGAAATGTCGATATCAGGCAACTTATCCAAGTTCCACGCGCGACGGATGACAATAGCGACGAGGTTGCACAGTCCGCATTGGTTGGATTTGTTAAGGATGTCTGTGAGATGACTGATGAGGATTGCGTGTTCTTTTGGGACGCCGTCGTGAAGGATTGCATGGAGGTCGAGGGATGAGCATGTTGAGCAGAGGGGTGCGTCGTTTTCTGGTGGGATTTCTGGGGTATGGTTGCTTGGAATAGGATGCGAGATGGAGTCTTTCGTGCGGATCTTTCGTCGGCGCTTGTGAGAGCAGAACATGGGAAGACTGAGACCCAGCAGGGGGACACTGCCTGTGCCTATGATATAAATGTCCTCGCCAAGAAAGTCACCCTGAATCCTCGAGGCAGGTACCACTCACCTTGAGTAAACGGAGCTTGCACGTAGCGTTTCAGCTAGGTCTTCTACAAGTAGTACATAGACCAATATTTGAAGACGGACATGACTCACATTACTATTGGGATATTCGTAGTTTGCAAAGCCGTACTAATGCGTGCCGCAGTTGGTACGGGCTGGAGCGCTGGTGGGCTAAGCGGTGGCTGTGACGTATTCAACATCTTATTACTCAATCGTGACTTGGACGGCCCAGCTAGTACTTGCTTTTCATTCTCTTCGAAAGTCTTTGTGAGTATCACCTGTGCTTCACTAGAAGTAAAGAGCCCTAAGAAGTTTACGATCTCAGCGCTCAGCATACACGCATTTCACCTGTACTTCTGTGAGTGCGCAAAGGGCCTCATTCATCCAGCGCAACGCCACTCATGAAATGTGCATGTACAGAGCTCAGCGCTCAGTCTTGTCATATTTACTGAGCAGGTCAGTCTACTGCAGCTTTCATACAATCAATAGTCATCAGCCTCAGAAGAGCGTCCACGAACCGGCTCTCTCGCTTCCTGTAACATCAACTTTCACTAACTACATCGTGTCCATCAGGTTTTCTTGCAGCTTCAAAGGCCATAGCTAACTCGCACCTCATGTTATAAACTTGCACGTATGTCCGTTCTCGTTGAATGTGGATGCTGAGACAACGATTCTTAGAACACTATCATATCACGAAATGACGATGACTACCCAACCGCTGATCCCCCTACCCTCTCATGATCATACACGGCGGCCACACCAGATGCCAATTGCACAACCCCAACCAATTTCTTCACGCATCAACCCACTCGACGCAGCTGAGATCGACCGTTTCGCAACTTTGTTCTCCCCCGCAACGCCCCCAGCAACTCCAACACCTATCTTTCGTGATCAGCCCCCAACAACAACTCGCCCGCAGCACCACAGAAATCGCACGACCAGCATAGACTCTGAATTCGGTGCCTTTGTATCGGTACCTGCTGCTCAGGACCCGCTTTCATTTGACTTTCCGGTGCTGGAGCCTGTCGCCCTGAAGTCTCAGAGACCTGCCATCGCTGGGAACGCAAGCTTGCATTACTTTGATCAGTTTACCTCCAGCGCAAAAACAGCTTCTGAGCAGAATAGACGGGTTGTCCTTGATGAGCTGCTTGGGCATGAAGATGATCCTTTGTATTTTCTTCGGGAGCACATTCAACCTCCATTATCTCCCCTATTCGAAACTCAACCAACATCGGCTCAAAATGGTATCGTTACACAATCACCGTCTCCGATACCACAAACTGTGAACTTGATTGACGCGGATGTCAAGCCTCCTTCTCCTCCACACAAGTTGCCTGTGCCCACTACGAGCGTAAGCTCTCAGCCTCCTGTGAATATACGCGAACCTCTTCCTCCCCGTCTCAGTGCAGCGGCCTCGCCTCCATCAGCACACATTCCTTCCGCATCAACCTCGTCGTTTCCCGCCTCCCCAGCCACGCCTCCAGCACATGCTACGTTATCCCGCCTTTCTTCCACCTGGGTCTCGGCGTTCCTGCCATCTGCTCGATCTAGGCAATCCACAGGATCTTCTACATCAAGTTTGGTACATCCAGCACCTAGTAACATACCTCAGCCAACGCACATGCATGTGGCGCATCAGACGTCTGGCATCACGCGTGGCACCCCTTTTGCCACCCACCCTTACATTCCACCATCCGGTGCCCCTGGTTTCGCAGGCGATCGGATCTGGGATAAGGGCTTCTCAGACGCGCTCCATGATGAGGAAATGAGTGAAGTAAAGGGCGTGCTAGGGAAAGGGAAGAAGATCCATGTTCTCAATCTTGTTGGAAGGAGAGAGGGCACATCAGTAGTGCTGAGCGAACCCATCGCAAATCTCGTACGTAACCCTTGTCTAGTGCATGCAGCCAGTACTCACTCATACACTCTTCCAGATTCGTCCCCACCTTCCAGCACTCACTCGTCTTCCACGGACATGGACTCTACTGTACTCGCTCGACCAACACGGTATATCGTTGAATACGCTGTATTCCAGATGTGAACCCAAGTTGCCCTCGACACCAGGTGCAACGAAAGGAGCTCTAGTTGTGGTCAAAGATGCAAGAGATGCGATTTTCGGCGTGTGGATGGGGGATGGGTTGTGGTTGGAAAGAGGAGGATACTATGGGAGTGGCGAGTCGTGAGTTTCCTCGCCTCGTCCTCTGGGTTGTCGGAGCTCATTTTCACCGGTCAGCTTTCTCTGGAGATACCAACGTCCTTCAAACAAAGAGTTAGGGTTAGAAGAGGGGACACTTGATGTATACAAATGGACGGGGAGGAATGATTATGTTGCGCTCTGTGAGCCCGGGTTCATATCTTTTGGTGGCGGGTGAGTATTCTTTCCCTGTGACCTTGTTCAATTTCCATATTCCAATGACTAACTCGCTTTGATGCGCAGAGATGGACACTATGGTCTTTACCTTGATGCTTCCCTCCTTGACGGATCTTCTGCACCATGCCCTACGTTTGACAACCCTGTTCTGTGTTCTCGTGTGGATGTTGGGAGCGTCGGCGTTAAGAAGGATGTGAGCTTTGAGTGTGTAGGACTGGAGGTGTGGGGCGTAGGACCTTGATTGCTGTCGTTTTGTGAGTAGGATGATGTGCTTGATTCCCTTATTTCATCTGCTTCCGAAGGCAAATATCTTCATTTTCTATTGGCTGATCTATTTCTGTCGCCGATAAAGGACGAGGCATGCACACTAAGTACAGTACAATGAAATGAGTGTGTGGTGACCTGTTACCGCTCCCAGGGAGCCACCGTTCGGTTACCAAGCCGTATAGCTTACTGCAGACATCTCGTCGATTCCCAAGATCTGCCTCCACACCAGTTGCAACCAAATTTCTCTCCTCTCTCAGATCCGCTCCTAGATATTTGTGGTAATCTCTGGGGGTGTGTAAGTGATTGGCCCAGATAATACTTACAACCATGATAGCACGTACCAGTCATTCGCCAACCGCCCCTCGAAATCAGCTTTGAGAATGGTGAGTTCAGTGTTAGTCTGACCGAGAAACATTTTAACATTGTCGCAGGCTGCAGTGACATATGGGACATCTGTAGCAGTAACACGAGGCAATGACAGGCGTTGAGCAAGGACGTACAGCAGGTATCTGCCGTATTTTGCGGTATGGCAAATAGTTCGCTCGACGTATGTCGGATGTTGTCGAAATTCCTGCATTCTGATAAATCAGCAGCAAGACGGCAGCACCATCATGACAATAATGGACTCACAGGCGTTCAACCTTGGGGACGGGCTCGCTCTCCATCTGCAAACCCTAACCAAGCCAAAAGCAACCAGGCTTTTCGAGCAAATATCACATTCCCCATGGCACTGCAATACATATGTTTGACGGTTAGTCCAATCATCAGCTGCGCGTTTAGGCACGAACACTTAGTAATCTTGAACAGGTCCAGCAACCCTGCGTGACGTAGGCGACTTTCAGACTCCCAGCTAGCTCTAACTCTATTGAAAATATCTTCATCAAACGGAATGGTTGGTTGTTGAGTATGCTATGGTTCTACGAGACGCAATCCAATCGGACCATGTGGGTGGGACATGGCTATTATTTGTCGAGGCTTCCTATCACTCATGATGACGGTCCGATATTCTACGTGCACCTCCAAGGCGCGTCAGCCCAGTTTTTTTTCGTACCAACCGATTAGTCGATATGAAATTGGCTTGCGTGTCATAATATATAAGGCACACCGAACCGTTGAGGCCATCCCTTAGACCCCACTATCATCACCCCATTTATGACAACTGACCCTCCTGACACTGCACCGATCTCGCCCTCGAAGGAGCATGTTGAGTGCAAAGAACTCGATGTCGACGTAGAATTCGGCGGTATAGAGGCACGAAACAAGCTAGAGCGCAGGTTGTTATTGAAACTCGACCTGCACATGTCAATGCTGATCCTCATCTATATCCTCAATTTCGTGAGTAACCTCGCATCAAGGCGCCTGATCTATATCTCACTCTTGTACTAGATCGATCGAAACAACGCTAGGTATGCCCTTGTCATGAATCGCTGATGCATCATTCACAACGGATTAAGTGCGGCACGCACACGAGGGCTCACCGCCGACCTCCATCTCGAGGGTCCACAATTTGCGACATTGTTGTCTATCCTCTATGTCGGATATGTTATGATGCAGGTCCCCTCCAATATGTTTCTCAATTACATCGGAAAGCCGTCGCTTTATCTGCCTGCTTGTATGCTAATTTGGGGAGTCATATCGGCGCTGACTGGAATTACCACAAAGTATGACCGATCATTGATGTCTGACAGATGACCGACCATACTCCTCGTAATAGTTTCGTTGGAGCGCTCCTAACGCGATTCTTTCTTGGCTTCGTAGAAGCAGCTTTTTTCCCCGGCGCCGTGTTCTTAATTTCGAAGTGGTTCGTTAATCATCGAGTATATTTTCAGCCGAAGTCCTGAAATTCAATGTACAGGTACAAGAGAACAGAGATAGGTTTCAGATTAGCCATCCTCTATTGGTAAGGGTGCTACTATGCTGGTGGATATATCTATTCATTGACAGCACCATTACAGCGGAAACATGATCAGTAACGCCTTCGGAGCTCTCATTGCATCAGGTATTCTTGCTAACATGGACGGCATCCGTGCACAAGCCGCGTGGAGGTAATTCAATACAGTTGATTTGTCAAAGGACTCTGTTGAATTTCATTTATAAGGTGGCTTTTCTATATCGAAGGAAGTCTGACTGTCACCGTTGCGATAATGGCTGTCTTTGTTTTGCCGGACTTTCCAACGACAACAAAGTGGCTTACTGATGACGAGCGCCGGCTTGCACTGAAGCGTATGGAGGAGGATGCTGGTGTCGGAGACCAGTTGGAAACTGAGAACGGTGGCTTCGGTTACGGCTTTTACCTCGCCATCTCCGACTGGAAGGTGTGGTGGATCACAATACTATTGATTGCTCAGGTTGTAGCGTTGTCCTTCACTGTCTATTTCCCCACTCTTACTGCAACACTTGGCTATAACCCAACGGCATCGCTGCTCCTCGCTGCGCCTCCTTGGATATATGCTGTCATTTTCACATTTGTGTGGGCCAGGTAAGCTGGGATATCGAACAATCTAGGAACTGGTCTGAAGAACTCCTC